TGCCTTCCCAGAGCAGACAGGTAAGGTAAGCAGACATGGGAGACAGACAGACATGGTATTAGCTGCTAGGAAAATATAGAGTTATGTGAAGACATGCAGCACTGACAAGAAGAGGAAAGTTGGGGCGTTCCAGGAAGATTTCTTGGAAGAAAACATCATCACAACCTTAAGAATTATATTATTTACTGGCCAAGTGGTTCAGTTGGTTGGAGCGTCATCCCGTTCACCAAAAGGTTATGGGTTCAATTCCCATGAGAGGCAATGGAGCAATGTTTCTCTCCCTTTTTCTCTTTCTCTCTCCCCCCATTCCTCTCTCTCTCTCTAAAATCAATAAAAACATATCCTTCCGCCTGACCGGCATGGCTCAGTGGTTGAGCGTGGACCTATGAACCAGGAGGTCATGGTTCTATTCCCTGTCAGGGCACATGCCTGGGTTGCAGGCTCGATCCCCAGTAGGGGGCGTGCAGGAGGCAGCCAATCAATGATTCTCTCACATCATTGATGTTTCTCTCTCTCTCTCTCCCTTCTCCCTTGTTCTCTGAAATCAATAAAAATATATTTTAAAAATCAAACCAAAAAAAAAACATATCCTTGGGTGAGGATTTAACAAATTCTATTATTTCCTGAGAATTTAATTATTTGCCACCAGAATGTAAGTTGCATGAGGACAGGGACACTGTGCATTCTGTTTGGTTTTATATTTTAAGCACTTAGTGTGATGCCTGGCACAGAAAAGGCACTCAAATATCTGGTAAGTGAATGAAAAGTGAATAAATGAGTGAATGAAGTAACTCCTAATGTGATAAGTAGGATTTTACCTACTGGGGATGACAGGAAAATGTTCCAGGCAGGTGAAACAGTGTGCATGAAGTCAGGTAGTGAGCAAAAGCATGGAGAGTGGGAGGAGCTAAAATACAATTAGGCTGGAAAGTGTGTGTGTATGTGAATGCCATGCGAGTGAGCCTGAGAAGGGAGCAGGGACCAAATCAAACAGCGTCTTGTAAGCTATGGTACGGGGTTTGAATTTGATGCCTAGGAGCACTGGGAAGCCATTAAAGATTTTAATTAAGGAAAAGACATCATCAGTATTTTTAAAAGTTCATTCTATATTCTGTTAATACACTAATAATTCAAATCCATTTCAGGGGAGGATGAAGACCACAGATAAGCATCATTAGAAAAAAAAATCATCTGTTAATCTTACCTCTCAGATATGACCATCATTTGACTGTAAACAAGCAACCTGTCTCAGTTATCTGTTGCTGTGTAAGAAACCATCCCAAAATCTAGTGGCCTAAAACAACTTATTTTTCATGAGTCTCTGGGTTGATTGGGATCAGCTGATGGCTCCTCTTCTCTGTGTTATGTAGTTAAGGATACTCTGCGGGTTACTTCAGCTGGGAGCTTAGCTGAGGCTTTAATATGCGAGATGGCCTCGCATGTCAGGAGCCTCTCTCCACACGACCTCTCATCTTCTCAGTTATCCAACCTGAGCAACTCTGCTGGCTGCCAAGAGGGATAAAGGGAGCTGCCAGTCCTCTTAAAGCCGAGGCTTGGGCATGCACGGACCGTCTTCCACTGCACTGTAGTAGGCAAGGCAGGCAGAGGGCCAACTAAACTCAAGGGGAATAGACTCCGCCTCTTGATGGGAAGCGCACTCTTCATGCACTGGGATGGGAAGGCTCATTAACTGTTGGGAAAACGACCACACAACCTGATTTGTTACATAGAAAGATGGTACATTGTTGACCATTTCTGGTACAAATAATTAGAAAACCTGAGTTCAAAAGTGAAATGAAAAATACATGGTCTTTGTCGATATAAGAATCACACAAGTTGGTTATCTCAATAAGCTGACAATTTGCATATGCACAAGGGAAGGTGGAAGGCAGAGGGGAACGTCCTATTTTAAACCCAATATTGAAGTGAAAGGAATTGAAGGAAAAAGTCAGATCCTAGATAAAGAAAATGGTTTAAAATGTGAGAAGTATTCTGCAACCAATGCCTCTATACTTTGCCTGAGTATTCACTTGAGTGTGGCAGGGGATTAAAACACATTATTTGTCCAAATTCACTTTCTGAACGTCAAATTGGTGGAGACCAGGGACTAGACCAGGGGTGGGCAAACTTTTTGACTCGAGGGCCACAATGGGTTCTTAAACTGGACCGGAGGGCGGAACAAAAGCATGGATGGAGTGTTTGTGTGAACTAATATAAAGTCAAAGTAAACATCATTACATAAAAGGGTACGGTCTTTTTTTTTTAGTTTTATTCATTTCAAACGGGCCGGATCCGGCCCGTGGGCCGTAGTTTGCCCACGGCTGGACTAGACAGTGATACTTCGGCGTGTACAAGAGCAAAAGCAGCAAAGGGTGCACACCACATCCCAGGAAATGACATAATCAAAACCGGGAAAGCCAAATCTCTTGCCAAGTCAAGGAGCAAATATGAGACCAAAATGGTAGCTTTCGCTCCCTCTACTCTAAATGGTGCAGGAGTCTGAAATCTCTATTTTATTCACCAGTCATGGGAAAGCCACTTGGTTGAATGCCCCGAGGAGGGCATAACCAGGCTCCTAGACTTGTCTGAGTCTCCCAGTAATGCCTCAAGAGAATAGACAGTGCTTCTCAATTCCTCCCTCTTCCTCATTCTGCAGGAAGCCACCCATTGTCTTCACTATCAGAGAAGTGTAAACAAGGATCCCTGAATGCTGGTGAACCTTGAGCCCATGGCAAGGGCCAAAGCTATGCACTGATGGTTTAGTCCAGACAATGGGGGTCAAGCTATCTCCTGACCAGATAGTATCAGAGTACATCTAATATTTACTGACCTTTAAGATAGTCTATTACCGCAATTATCTGCCTAAGAGCTAGATGTGTATCCAAAATTGAATAAAAGGTTGGCAAGGCTGGGCACCAGTGGAAGTACTTTCTCTTGCATTGGGCTTCCCCGCCTGGCCCCAATATTTCCAAATTATTATTTCTTGTCTCGTCCCTTTCATTTGCGTGCAGCCCCTTCTCCAGATCCCAAACCCAGAACCACGCGGGACGTGGGATCATTCACATCATTCCCATTGCCACTGCCTTAGTTCAGTCCTTTATCACCTCTTAGATTTGTGCACAACTCCTGACCAGTCGCCCTCCTACTCACCTCTACCTGCTCCAATCCATCTTCCACAGAGCTTTCAGTTACCTTGTGGGAAGAGGAAAAACAAAAAGGCCAAAGACAGGTGTAGTGTTCTGGTGAGGAAAGGACTTGTATATCATCATACAGACTTTATTCTGATTGAGGTACCTATTGAGCAATTTTTCAGAGAGACATATTTGCATATTTTTAAATGATACCCAGGCAACAAAGGAATCGGGAGTAAGCCTGGAGGCTGAGATCAGTAAGTTGTAGCAACCCTGCTGATAAAGTATGCAGGTCTAAATCAAACCTGTGGCAGAAAAAAGACAGTTATACCAGTAAAGTATAAATGAAATCGTACCAATGGTGACCTCCAGTAAACAGGTGGGAGGAGACTAGGATATCATCTAAGTTTCCTACTTGAGTAGATAGAATACATTTCCACCAAGATAGATTATACAGGAAGAGCAGGTCTGGGAGTAATCAGAACCTCCAAGTTGGATGGCCAGTTGTGACTAAGCAGGTTGAGAGTAAAGAGCTCTAGACAACATGAACTAAAAACCAGAAAGGAGAACAGATGAAGCTATGTGTGGACAGAGTCACACAGAAAGAGAATTTAGTACGAAAAGTAACAAAACCCTGGAGGAACTAAAGGTTTATTCCGATCAAGGGCATGTACCTTGGTTGCAGGCTCCTCCCCGGCCCGAACCCTGGTCAGGGCGCATGCTAGAGGCAACCAATCAGTGTGTTTCTCTCACATCAATATTTCTGTCTTTCCCTCTCTCTTCCACTCTCTCTACAAATCAATGGAAAAGTAACCCCAAGTGAGAATTTTTAAAAAAACACCTGAAAGCAGAATATATTGTTTACTATTTACCAAAATATGTAAGCAGGGACTCTCCACTAGCAGAGTAGGAAAACATGCCCATATCTCCAAAGAAGAGGTATCACATGAAAACTACATTGAATATGATTCTCTAATCAACTAGAGAAAACAAAGGTCTATAGTCAAACTCAATGGGAAACCTATGCAAAAACAAAACCAAAACCAAAACCACCACTTGCAACACAAGCCAAGCCCAAAGGCTTAGAAAAAGAGGTCCAGAGCCAGAGGCTGGCAGGGTTCAGTCACAGCCACCACCAACCCTACATGCTGATTCACCAAGAAACCTGATTAGAATTTGGTTTGTCTTCAGAGATTGTACTAATCTGCCAACCTGAGTATTCTGGTCTACTTGATACCTGTTGCCTTTCACTATAAATTACCAGGCATTTTGTTTAATATGAGTCCATCTGAGAGAGAGGTCAATTCTCAAATGACAGATTCACTTTCAGTATCTCCCAAGGCTATGGGCCAAACTGTGATAAGGAAATCTTACCGAGAGGACTTCTGGTTACCAGACAGAGAGAGGGCTTATCCTGAAGGCACGCCAGCCTCACTTCAAGCCTCCCTACTGAAATAAGGCAAGCACTTTTTCTTTTACCAAAAAATTAAGGTATGATTGCAAACAAGGAGTACAATTCATTAATATTTTTATTTTGAGTTGTAATCCATTATTACTTAAGATCCACTTCAGGAAACATCCAATGGATGTTGACTTACCATTAAAAGTAAGTCATCAATGTTTGATTTATAATACAGAATACACAATAAATTATATTTACATGCAATTACTAGACTATCACACACAAGGTAAAAAAATACAGTATTTTTATGTACATTTTTTTAAGATTTACATTTTCATATACAATTTATAAAATTTAAAAATTCTCTGTACAGAATTTCATGTGTACAGAGTTTATAAGTCCCCTATTCTTATGGCTGTACCACCACACAGATATGCTCAAAACTGTAACACTACACACACTTAAGTTTTCCTTTTTTTTTTTTTTTACTCTATATTCAATCTTGGCACCCATACACTAATACCATTATTTTTGAAATGTAAATTACAAAGGAAGTAAAATGTAATCATGCAGACTTTTTTTAATATATGAAAATGAGATAAAATGTGCTACTTGATCAACATTTAACAATTCCACAGTTACCTAGTTCTGATCAACCTTCTGCACTGTTTTAACACAGGTGCATGCAAAACTATCAGATTATGGATTGTTTTAATAACATTAAAATAATACTACAGTCTGAGAATACTTAGGCATTAGGAATGCAATTACCTAATAACCATAGCCTGTTGATTATTTCTGCTTTGGCAGAAACCTCAACTAACACATTACATACTAAAATTTACAGATATGGCAACATTATAATTCCCAAGTTTATAGAGTCGGCAACAGGTAAGTGATTATTTAAAAAAAGAAACAAAGAAGGTGTTTGACATTTAAGAGTATACTAGTATTCTCTGTTCTGAGAATGGGGGTAGGGGAGTGACTTAAGATAAACCATTAAAGGTTTATCCATTTTCCCTGCTAAGGAAGTACTGGCCCACTCCCAATCTGTTTAAATAAAGACACCTGAAGGCTTTATAAAAAGTTTAAGATTACCTATACTATTCATCTTCAAAAATTCTTGAAAAGTAATAAAATTGAAGGTATCAATACCTTCCCTCCTCCCCCAAGTAGCTAAAGATCAACGAGAAAAATAAAGTGCCAATGTCTAAAGTATTGTTACTTGTTCAAGAGGCACTAACCCATTTGATGGCTTAGGATTAAATATGAAAATAGGCCAGATCTGATCTGAATAATAAATAGAAAGTAGGTATATTCCAGTCTATGCAGTTCCTGCCTAGATGGGGGTTGGACCAGAGAACTACCTACTCCCCCATTTATTGCTTGGAAACCTGTACACACACTTTAAATTCTGACACAGAACAGTAGGATTTCTAAGATGGAAAGCACAGTGTCTGTGCCACTTTGAAGTTGAAAAAGAAAGTGCACTCCTGATCACTGGAAGGAGAGCTACTGAGACTCTCTTCTCCACAACTCATATCTTCACAAGAGTCCTCACTAAAGAGAAAAGAAGAGACAAAGCAAAGTCCATTATTTTAAATATACTTAAATGTTTTACAGACAAAATAAAACTGCTAAACAAGTATCTCTAGTCTCAGAATCTTTATATTCAAACTTTAAGCTTTACAGTGAGAAAATTTAACTTATAAGGACTTCCTAAACTGAACTCTATTATAATCTCCTTAGAAAATACAGATTTTCTTAACAGGTTTCAACAAATTACTATTTGCCAAGCTATTATTCTTGTACCAATAACTCTATCATCAATTAATTGTACAATTTTAAGTAAGTTAGATCCAATAAATGCAGGCTAAGGACAACATATCTCCTATGGCATGATTTCGCCATCTTTCTTGCATTAATAATTGTATCACTAATAAATTCAATATCCAACCAAAAAACCAATAAACTATGAAATGGAACTTCTGGTCCTTTATCCCTACCATATAAAACAATCTAACTTAATAAAAGACAATGGCATTTGACAAAACTGTAAAAATATCTACAGAATTCTGCCACCTTTGTGGTGGTGGTTCCTCCCCCCCACCCCACCCCCAGGCACTTTAACCACAGCCTCTTCCCACAGACCACATTAGGAATTCATACTTACTAACACTGAAAAGCCCAGAATGTTGTTTCACTTTTTTAAAAAACTAAAACTATATTTCAAAGAGCAAAGGAGATGGGAAACAACCAGTTTTTTAAAGGGGAGGAGCGAAACGTCAGTGGAAAGACAACATTCTATTTAATCTAATACATGGAACCTAAAAACGAAAAAAACAGAACTCATAAATTCACAAATAGAATAGATTGGTAGTTGGCAAAAAGAGGGGTTTGGTGGGTAAAAATGGTCAAAAGGTACAAACTTCCAGTTTTAAATCTTGGGAATATAATGTACAGCATGGTGTTTTGTTTGTTTTTAGTAAGAAAAATGGGGGCCCTGGCTGGTGTGGCTCGGTTGGGCATTGTCCCATGCACCAAAAGGTTGCTGGTTCGATCATGGGTCAGGGCACATGCCCAGGATGTGGGCTCAATTCCCGGTAGGGGGTATGCAGGAGGCAGCCCATCGATGTTCCACTCTCTTCTCTCTTCCTCTCTCTAAAAGTAAGTAAACTATTAAAAAAGGAGGGAGGGGAAGCACACTTCTAAATTATTAGCCTATTTTAATAATTAACTGTTTCTGGCTAATTTTCTCACCTGAAGAAAAGATGCTATTAGACTAGGGACTTTCTCTGATGCCTTATAATATTCCCGGGTCCCATTTTGAGTATAGTTTGTCTGGCAAGTCTAATCAGTTAAGGAATCTGCTTACCTTTCACTTTCATCAAAACAACCCCCCTCTGGTATTGTTGGCAGCTCAGGGACACTATAGTAGCTGTTGTGGAGATTCTGGGCTGTGCGCCTTGAAACAATCCAAACCAATTTCTTAAGATCTGGTTTGCAACATTCAGGAGAAGAATATTCAGCGAGGCATTTAGAAACTAACTCCCTCCAGTAAATGAATTCAGTGTCATTAACCTGAAAAAAATATTTTAATCAAGAGGTTAAAATAGTGGTTCCCAAGCCGTGCTGTGCCGTGGAGTCGCCCTACACGCCTTAAAAGAATACTGATGCCTGGCTCCCACCCCAGATATTCTTCTTTAATCGATGTAGGGTATAACATGGGAATCAAAAATTTGTTTAAAGCTCTCCAGGTGATACTAGTGTGAAGTCAAATATGGGTAACCACTGGTTTAGGAGATGAGCACCAAAGGTATAGATAATTTACATAGGATTCAATACATAGAAAGTTTTGCCTATTAAGAACACACACTGATCTAAAAACACTTGTCTGTTACTAAATCAATTATCAAGTATATTCTTTAACAGTCCCAATGCAAAGGAAATTAATAATTTAGGTTTCTGTAACAAAGCATTTTTTGATTGCTAAAAATATGCATTTACACTAAGATACCAGATAAATGCTAATGAAGAAGTTAGCAGTGTGACAGAAGAGGAATTTCCCCAAAAGGGCGTAGTTTCTCCACGACCAGGGAGTGCCCCACTTTATTTCACGGAATCAATTTTCACTGAGGATATTTCCAGATAAATTATAAATGGTTTACATTAAAACTAATAAATTCCTGACTAAAACACAAGCTAGAAGTTATCTGTTAAAAACAAAATACTTCACAAATACTTTTAGCACAAACAGAAGACAATTTTATAGCATCTTGGCCACCATTCCAGCTACATCTTAACCCCCCTGCATTCTGGCTTCTACCACTCCCTTCTCATTCTACTAACATCATCTCCTAGGTATCCAATGACCTCCTTCAATTCCCATTATAATGGGCCTCTCATCAAAATTCAATACTCTTGGCTACCTTCTTCTTGAAAACCTCTTCCCAACCTGATAGTGCTCTTACCTGTCAGGTGTACCTTCCTTCACTTGGCTCCTAATGGTGAAACTGCCAACACTGAAAGCTCAACCAACATAATTTCAACCAACCTCTAAGCAAAAGACTCCAAGTTTCTTAAGGCTTTATTATTTCATGAGAAATTTCAACTCTTGATCTCCAACTATGATTTATCTTGAGTTTTTGTGTGTGTTTTTTTTTAATATTTTATTGATTTTTTACAGAGAGGAAGTGAGAGGGATAGAGAGTTAGAAACATCGATGAGAGACAAACATCGATCAGCTGCCTCCCGCACACGCCCTACTGGGGATGTGCCCACAACCAAGGTACATGCCCTTGACCAGAATCAAACCTGGGACCTTTCAGTCTGCAGGCTGATGCTCTATCCACTGAGCCAAATCGGTCAGGGCTATCTTGAATTTTTATTCCAGACTGCTAAATACCTGCTAGACATCTACCACCTGGAAGGTAAAAATCATACTTCTTTGATCACAAGTTAACTTCTCTCAAATTTCCTCCATTGGTACCAACATTCTATCATTTGTTCCAAATACTGATCATTTGTGGCTCCTTGCCTCATATTCCATGCTTGACTTCCAAAACCACTCAAGTTAGATATTCTCACAGCTTCCTGTGACTATCACCTAGACATTCTATCTACAAGCCTACCCTAACGTAATTCCCAAACCTTCTATAGTCCACCAGCTTCCTGGCTATAATAAGCCTTTGCTGCCCAAACTATCACTACTAAGATTCTTTTGGTCTACACCTTCCCAGTAATAGTGCCTCTCCTGGCATACCTTACTCTTCTGCTAACAAAACCCCAAAGTACTCCCTACGTTCAGTATTATCTCAGACACAGAATAAATGACAGAACATACCACTACATGTTAAGTTCCATATATCTCCAACTAGACTCTAAGTCTAAGAAAAGGGACTGTGCCTTTATAGTTGTTTTACACCTTTATGACTGCCAAAAATGTACTGGGCTGGCCTAAGGAGTTTAAAAAGAAAAACGAAGCTAATGTTATTTTGGAAATGCTACTAATGGGATGAATCAGCCCTAAAGATGTAATGGGATGCCATCAGTGTATTTAGTAAGTCTACTTCCTAGTGTGTATTTTAGAGCAGACCATTGTATTACCAATTTGCAAGAATACTACAGAAGGGACATCTGAATGCAGAAAGAAGCTAGGCTAAGGACAGGATTCCCTTCCAGTTTAATACTGTCTGGGTCAAAACTGCATTTTGAGAACTTCAACACTTGAGATGTTTTAAAAAGTGAGTGTAAAAGTTAAGAGCCCCATAAAGTATTACTTAATGTTTAAGTCACCACAGGGGAAAAAAAACAAAGTGAAATATTAGGAAGAAAACTTGCTTTAAAGAATAAGAACTGAATATATTTACCTTGGAATGTTTTTTAACAAGCAGAAGAATTTCCAATAATTCAATGGATTTCAAAGTTTCTACTTCCAAATTGAGAAGGCACAAAGCTAATACAGATGGCTACAAGAAAAAAAAAGTGTTAAGTAAAATAAACATTTTTTAATTCAAAACAGAAACTGTGAATCATATAAGCAAGAAATTGACTTACTTTTGCTTTTGAAAAGGTAAGCCGGCAGTTGCAAGCTTTCAGCTGAGCTTCTAGTTTATCAAGATTCAGTATTTCTTTCCTATACAATGAAAAGAAAAAACAATGTATTTATTTACTAAACTTCCAAAGACGTAAACAATTTTAAGGACTTGCCATTAAAAAGTTTGGAGGAAGTAAAACTATAAACTTCACTGGCATTCTACTTCGTTACTGTTAGCTATAGCAATCTAAAGTATAAAATTTTTATTTTTAATCCCACTGACCTTTCTGAAGTCTGACAAAATACTATAGTATGGTATAAGTGCAAAAAGTTTAAGGCAGTAGTAGCTTCCAATTCATAGTGCAATTTTTCTGAAATTATTTTTTCCATCCGTTTTATGTCAGAGGCAGTACATTTGCATTGACTAATCCGGATTACATCATGAGTGGATGGAATATTGCATTCTTCTTCAACTATTCTAGCAGCCAGCAAAAAACAACAGACTCCAATGCAAGACAAATGTTTAGGTTTCACCTGAAAAACAAAAAAAACAAAAGTCTTCTTCTAAACAATTGTTACTTGATTTAGCAAGGCAGACACTTAAGAATACTGTAGTAATGCCCCTACTTTTAAGACAGAACACAAACAAGCTGCATCCCTGTACTTTTTTTTACCCACAATTATATTTAGTCATTTTCACAATTTAAACTGTCTTAACCTTCCTTTAAAATAAAAGGCATTTTGGGCATTTAAATTAACTTATTTAAATGCAGATAAAAATAATTAAATACAAGTTCAAAAGCCAAGTTTCTAACACTGCCTATACTTGGTCTTTCAAACTCATGAAATTCGTAAAAGTACATTCTCTCCCAAAATAACATGAAGCTTTCAACTCCTAGAAAATAAACTACTTCTTTGGATATAAAAATAACATATCCACTTATCTTTTAATCTTCTTATCTACTTATCTCTAAGAATCATCCCATACTTCAATGAAACTTTGCCCAAGAGAAACATTGCATCAGCTGTGCAGTGAAGCATATGTAAAAGCTGCCATGGGCAGATGGCTGCCCTTTTCTTTTCAGTGCCCTAAAAACTGACCCAGCAGCTGACAGCATCCTATTGGCAGAAAAATCACCACATTTCTCTAACAGTTGCTGGTAATTGTTAGTAAGACTGTGACTCCCTGCTCCGAGCAGACTTACAGGAGAGGCAGTTGGTCACCTTTAATAGACTGTTATACTTCCACTTATGTTTCAGTATTAAAAACATCTAGGCTCCAACAAAAACATGATGGGAGATGAAAACCTTACAGTAAGGACTGTATACACACTGGTATATAGAGACTACCTAAAAAACAGTAGTCTTCACTATGTTAAACCTTCAAAGGGAAGGCATGTAAGACGTACAGCAAAACCTAACTTAAAATACAATACACTTGATTTTGTAGTCTTAATCTGACACTAAAGATCATAGTTCCAATTATTAAAAGTGTTTATGTATGGTGACGTAAGTACATTCATTTGCCAAATATTTATCGAACCCTCCTATGCTGGCCATTGTAGTAGGCACTGGGTATAGAAAAATCAAGATTTATAAAAAATTATTAAATACCTTCATAAGAGCCAAGAATCTGTCCAAAATATTGACAGCCAGGACAAAAGTTTCAGTGCAAGATCCAAAAAAGTTGGTTAAACTCCTTAAGTCTTCTACTTTGGCATTTCTCAATCTTGGACACAAAGTGTTATCATTCTGCAATGAAAACCAAGAGCCCAAGTTTACTATTTCTTAGAACTAAATGGATAATACACACAGATTCAACTCAAATAAGGTAATTTTTTCCCATAACCTTTGAGAATACGGGGCAAAGGGTAATATTTAACTAAAGCAATACACTTTTCCGCTACAAAAAGTGTAAATATCATTGCTTTTTAAACATGTACATCTCAAAAGAATTAGGCAGTTCACCAAATGAACTGGTGCCACACGTCCAGAGGGTCATAGCAAATATAGTTCGATTCCCTGTAATGGACATAGATGGTTACTTGCTTGCTTTATGGGGTTTTTGTTGTCTGTTTATTAACTATTTGAGAACCTACAACAAGTGTTTCACAGGCAAAGGGCATTTCCACAAGGGAACTGCAGGATGCCCAGGGAGTCTCCCACCCCGGAGCTGAGGCTGGAGCGCCACATCTGCAGAAACACTTCTCCGGGGTCAGCATCACTCTCATTCTTGCTAAGACACAAACGCTTGACCCGGGGTAAGATGTATCTTCGTCCTCCAGGAAGCCCGACGTTGGTCTGAAGAAACTTGCCCGTCTTCAGTCCTGATTCCACTTAACAACAACAACAGAAACGTTACCCTCTCGGCAGCTGCAGCAAGTTCCCGGGCGACTTACCTCCGAGGTAGCCTCGATCAAGCTCAGCCCTTTCTCTCGCGGTTGGAACCGCTGTTCCTGTTCCAAGTAGAGGTTCAACAATCCGAAGAGCCGGACCCCTTCCCGACCTGCCAGGTGCTCGGCCCCCAAATCCTTCATCTGCAGCGAAGACAGCACACAGTTAGGCGGGTCCTTGCGGAGGCGGGAACGGGGGTCAGGGGGAAAGGGCAGGAAATACCTCCAGCGAGAGGCGCCCGGACGAGCACACACCTGGCGAGAGCGAGCCGCGGAGGGGCCCGGCCCGGCCCCGGCGAGATCCAACCACCCCACCGGGGGGTGTGGCACGGGGAGGGGCGCGGTGACGTCGGCCGGCCAGTCTGGGTCGGCCCGGCCGGTTCACCACCAGGAAAACGTCCCCGGGCGGCGGTGTCCCGAGGGCCCGCCCCACCCGAAGCCGGGGGAGCGGGGTCTCTCTCCGGTGGGATGCCCCGGGCACAGCTCCTGCCGCGGGCCCCGGGGTGCCAGCTTTGCACAATAGGGGGGCAGGGAGAGCAAGTCTCGCGACTGAACAAAGAAGCGGAGGGAGGAGACTCCGGAGCCCCGCCCCGCCCTCCCCTCCCGGGGGCCCGGCCGCCGAGCCCCTCTAGCTGGACTCCAGCCCGAGCCTTCCCCGTCCGCGACGGCGGCGCCGGTGGCACCCGAGGGGGGTCAAGACCCAGGGGGAGACAAAAGCCCAGCCCACCCGCGTCCCGACAACAGCGGTCCGACCACGGATGCCCCGGTTCCGCAACTGTGCGGGGCCCCGGGCTGTCAATTCAAGAAGCACCACCCCAGCGAACGCCGGTGACAAAACGGGCGGTGGGGGGAGGCGCACCAAAGGACTGTCCGGACCCTCCCGGACTCTCCGTGCGTCCCACCAGCATCTGCCCCAGTCCGGCGCCCACTGCCCCGAAGCTGGAGCTGGGGCAGGACCGGAGTCGCTCCCGGGGCCGAGGGCTGGGCACCCCGCCCCCGCCGAGTCCCGACCGCGAACAAAGAAACCCGGGCAGGAGCACTCACCGTGCCGGAGACGCGCCTCCACCGGCCGGGCGTCGCGGTCCGTCGGGGACTGGGTGCGGCGGGGCGTCCGGACCTGTCTCCGCGGACCCGCCGCCTCAGCGGAGGCCCGGGACCCGCATCCGACCCCTCCCCCCGTCACCGCCGCCCTACAGCCCCGGCTTCATTCTGCTCCCAGCGCGCCCACCCGCCAGGGGCGCAGCGCCCACCCCCCAGCCCTGAGCCTCCACGGGCACAGCCGCCACGGCCGACGCGAAGCCCAACCAAACCCCTTGTTTTTGTTTTGGGCTCTCCAGGCCCCCAAGGGGCGGGGCACGTGACGCGCCGCGGAGGGATTCTTCGCTTCTCAGCAGGATTTGAAAAATAATCCCGCCTCTCAGCCGCGGTCCCCAGCGGGTTTGGGGGCCGCCGAGGCTCTCCTTTGCTTTCCCGAGCCACCCCTCCCCCTCGGTTCCTGGGCGGAGGGTGGAATGTGGGCGTCGGCTTTATTCTGCGATAGACCCGGTGGGGGAAGAAAGGGAGAGGCAGGGCTGAGGCGCGGAAGGAGATCCTTTCTAACCGCTTTGCACCTTTTAAAGGTCCCTGATTTGTTTTGTTTCCTCTGTTTTGAAAAATCCGCCCAAAGTGGCCGGCTCTCTGATTGGATGCTGGCCGAATGCCGAGAACCTGCTTCACTCTCGAATCTAGATTGGCTGACTGATTCGTCTTGGAGGCCTCTGATTGGCTTTCGCCGTCTTCTGCTCCTCAGTCTTCCCTGGGGCCTTAGCAACGCTGGAGTCTGGAATGCGCATGCCCGGCGGAGGGGGCCCCCCCAGCTCTGGAGGAATGCGTGGGCCTGTGCATGGGGTCCGCGCTTCCGCCCGCCCCCCCTCCCCCTCCCCCGGGAGGGCCACGCTCGGCTCTGAGCCTGGACGGCTGCAGGAGCTGCAGGAACCTAGGGGAGGGTTCTCTACGTTTCTTCTTTATTTTGTTGTGTGGGTCCATTTTGCGATAACCAATCAAGTTGGTATAGAATTTTCAGGATGCTTGTTGAAATATTGACAAGTAAAATGCAATCACTTTGGTCTTTGCTTTAAAGTTTCTCGGACCAAGAGGGGGAAAAAAATGGAGAGAAGAGAGGTGCAACGAGGTTGCACAAAGAGTTGTTAAAGGTGGGCGATAGATGGGTGCAAGAGGGTTTCTACTCGTGTGTCCTTGGAAATTTTTCCGTAATAAAAAATACATGTTCAGTGAGGGGACTTTAAAAAAAAATGTACCGGTGCACATTGACTAGGGCACATAAACGTGTAATCATTGTAATAGTGTACCCCCAGAGGTGGTAATTGCGCTGCTGTTTTAATGAAGGCTCTGAGAGGTTCTTGGTCACCCATAAATTACCATTTATTGTCCATTATGATTAGCGTTATTAAAAGGTGACACGTGTCCTCTCCTGAGGCGGTGCAAAAAGCAAAGCAAAGGAGACTGGAGACATTTGCACACGGGATATCTTTGGGGGGATGTGAGAGACGTCCCTTCAACATCGTTAGTAAATTCTCTTTATTTTCTCCCTCTTCCGGTCTCCACCGCGGTCAGCCAAACACACAAATCAGAAGATAGCACGTTCTGAGTTCTAATCTAAATAATCAGAAAGCCCCTAGGAACAGAGCCCTCTCTTCTGCTCTCCTGCATGTCTTCTGTGAATCGTCTCATTGCTTGTAAAATAGGAGAAGTCACATAAGACAGCAGCAGCTTTCTCCTCTTTCCCGAGCGGCAAAGGAATTTTAGGAATAGATCCCTTTGCCTGTGAGCTGGAACTAGACGCAGACATCTGGAGCTCAGAGCAGCTGGGGGAAGGGGAGCTCAAGAGCTAATCCTCTTACTTCAGAGACTTGGGGCCTTGTTCAGGGTTTGGGGAAATAAAATTACATTAAAAGACTGCTTTTAAGGGATTTACAGCTTGCGTGATTTTGTTCAATACTCGTTTAATCTTTTAAACATTATTAAGACTCTTATTTGACACAAACCTCTTGCTGGAAATCTGTGCTGAAAAACATAAATGAGGGCTGCAACCAAGATGGAAAATAGAGCTAAGATTAGAATTACATAGATGAGGCCTCCTTGTACAGTGTGTAAAGAGGCTCAGTGGACAGAGTCCAGAGAGAGACAGAAAGCAGCTGGATGGAAAACATGAGAGAACACAGTTTGTGACCAAAACATGAAGGAGATGGGGACTTTTTTTCAAGTAGGAGGGCAAAGATAGAAAAGGAACATAAGGTATAAAATAAGTGATGTGAAAGAAGAAATTAAAATTACGTGGTAGAAGATTTCTAAAATAATAACATATCAGACAAAAAGGAAGAGATGATGTAAAAGTTGTCCTTTGTTTGGTTCACTAAATGTTACAAAGTTATACAAAATGTATACTGCATGTTGCATAGCTAGTATTTTATATATCCTTTCACAGGCAGCCAGCCTCTGGCATGGTGAGCAGTTCTCTTAAGAGTAAGACAAGAAAGTTTTGCAAATGATGTTGAATTTCCTGCTCCTGGTAGGCCCTGTTCAGTACAGAAAAGACTAGTTAAATTGCCCAGTATGGAGCCCTATCTCCACTTTTGTCCATTTATCTTCTTAAGGTAAAGAAAAGCAATCATTAAAAAATATTGGTCCAGCCCGGCCAGGGTGGCTCAGTGATTGAGTGTTGACCTCTGAACCAGGAGATTACAGTTTGATTCCCGGTCAGGGCACATGCCCAGGTTGTGGGCTTGATCCCCAGTGTAGGTTGTGCAGGAGGCAGCCGATCAATGATTCTCATCATTGATGTTTCTATTGTTCCCTCCCTCCCTCTTCCTCTCTGAAATCAATAAAAATATATTAAAACATAAAAAAAATAAATCTCTTAAAAGTAAAAAGGAAAAATATTGGTTCAGTAATTACATCATCCTTTTTATTTCTTTCCCCAAACAGTTCTTTTTAACAATTATGATATTTTGGGGTAGTAAATGATGCTGGTTTTCTCATTTTACTCTGCTGATTTTTATTTATTTTTAATATATTTTTAATTTTTTAAATGTTTCAATTTTTTTTAATGACAGTCTTTCTCCAGGCTCTATTGTCTGTCCTTATCACTTTTGCTTATTGTGCTGCAGCTCTAGGTGTTATTTATTAAATAAGCATTTACCCTTAGGCTAATCTGCCTTTACCTGTCAACTACCTTTCTGTCTTCCCTAAGTTTTCTTGAGGGCAACTTCCCTGCAACATACACACATACAAAATAAAGGATCAGAAACTTGGCAGTCCCCAGAAAGGACTTTGAGGGGATTTATCCTATATAATAAAAGCCTAATATGCAAATTGTCCCCTCGGGAGTTCCACTAGGAGTTCAACCGCTCGCTATGACGTGCACTGACCACCAGGGGACCGTGCAATACATGGCAGGCGTCGGCAACAAGGCACTGTCAGTAGGCAGCAGTGGAGGTGCTGCTGGCCCCAAGGAGAGCGGGACCGTGGCAGGATGGTGGAGCAGGTGAGCAGGCGGTACCAAGTCAAGGTGGGTGCGAACGGGGGCCCAATCCCCTGCCCATCACCTCACAGACTCACCTGGTAGACAGCAACCAGCAGTGGCGGCGGGGGGCGGGACCACCACCCGGCTCTTAGGCACTGAGGGAACTGGGCAGGGGGAGGGAGAGGGGGCACCCTGATCAATTGCCCTGCGGGCAGGATGGTGGAGCAGATGAGGGGGCAGTGCCAGGCCAAGGCAGGGTGCCAGGAGGGGCTGCAGGACTCTGAGGTTGGGAGTGCAAGCTGGGGCTGTGAGTCTGGGAGCGTGAGCTGGGGCCTGATCCCTGCAGGCCAACCCAAGGGACCTCACTTGTGCACAAATTTGTGCACCGAGCCTCTAGTTTCCTTATAAGATACTTGGTCTGCAGCACAGTGATAGGGGTGCAGCAGGATTGGGTGATACTCTGCCCCCAATAACTCTGTGAAGGCCTGACAGTGACCCTGTTGTCCTCAGTGACATCTGAGACTATGAAACAGAAGGTGGGCACAGAGCAGGAAACAAACAGCGGCACACCCACAGAGGAGAAAACAATGCCTTCTTTCAGCGAATTCTTGACTCTGAGGAGTGTCCTTCAATCTACTCACACTCCTGCTTCTACCTAGAAGAGAAAATAGGGCGTTCCCAAAGGCTGCTACAGTGCTCCCTCAATGCTTTGTACTCAGCTTCCCTGAACTTCACGAGGCATCACAGCTCCCTCACAACTTTCCAGAGATATCTTTCTCCTCACAGGTGGTGGTTTTAGACAATAAATCCTATCTTTTCATTCAACAGACATTGAATGAATCCACACTAGATGCCAGGCATGGTACTAGGCCTCAGGGATACAAAACTAGATAAATAAAACCCAGTCCCAGAATGTACCCTGGTATCTCTGAGGTGTAGGGCAAAAGCTCTAGCAGAGGGATCAGAATGCCTGA